ATACTTGTCCTCAAAGAACTGAATGCAGGCCAGTAATTCATTTCCTGCCCTAGGCAGCATTTGAATAGCCTGTTATGCCTGTGACACAAATTACTCTCCTATGGGCTAAGCTAGATTAGAAATTGTGAAACAGAGGTAGAAACCTGGCCTCATCTTTATCAGACACATCCTGTCCTAACTATTCCCTTATCACAGTTTTAAAACATGCTTTCTTAATGAATCGTATTTTTTTGAAATGTTGTGTTGCCCCTGATACTTGGTAGATAAATAATGGTGATTTGGGTTTATGGTAGGTGGTAACCTGCCAGATTGGAAGATTGGCAGCAAAATAAAGTCTGTGTCCTGAGCATGTGCTGTATACAAATAATGATTGCCTTGAACAGTAAAATGTCTTCTGAGTTACCATTATTTCTTATGTCCTCCTGCCACATTTTTGTTGATTTCTTCATTGACCTCAGATCCTAAAGCACACAAGGCTAAAGACTGTCAAACTTGCACATCAAAAGTGTACATATTTTTGTTGGAAAATGAAAATTACCCTTTACAGCCATACCTGTACACCAGTCTTAGTCCTCTTCAACTGAGGAGATCACCAAGCAAGGAATAAAACCAGGAATCCTTTCTTGCTAATTTTTCAAAACAATAATCATAGATAATTAGTATCATGACTTTTTTGCATATGATATGGTAGCATACATTTTTCTGTCGGTAAAAGTAGCTGATTCTTGGATAATCTCCCCCTTCTGATATTTCAGGAAGTTTTGGTGAGGAAAGTTTTTCTGTGTATGGGTGAAATATATCTGGCAGTTAAGGTGGTCTCTCTGTTTGGTGACTTTAGCTCTGCTTGTTCAGAAGCTAATTGTGGAGTAGCCAGACAAGACTCCAAAAGCATTTTGGAAACCTGTGCATTTTCTAGGGGTATTTTTTCCATAATGTTTGCTGAGAGGCTGTGGAACGGGCAAGACAGTAAATTGAAGAGTTGCTCTCCAGGAAGGCCTGCCATTTTGAGTGACTTTTTGTACTCCACTGCCAAATTCAAACCCCTGCACTTCTTGATCCTTGTCTGACATGAGACAATGGGTTGGGAAGTTGTAGTTAGAAAAGTTTTCTGTGGTTGTTGTCAAGCAGCCACTGAGCATTAGTGCCTCTCTTTCTTCAAGGTTGCATGAAGAAGTCTTGGAGCTGAGACCAACGCTACAGGGACCTGTTGCCTTCCAGAAGCACCAAAACCAGATGTGTCTGTGCTATCCACAGTCACTGGGCAAGAAGAGAGGCTCTCTTCTCCTGTGTCCTAGAGAAAAAGACATCAAAACTGTCTTTCCATTTTAATAGTGAGTTATTTTATGTCCAAACCTTCTGCCAGATTTGGGGTAAGCCTTTAAGTGAATAATGCAGTATAGAACCAGACCCAGAATTAGGTCTTTCTTGTATTAACATAGAGAAGCACTCTCCATTTCTCTTTTATCCTTCCAATTTATTGCCCTCCCTTCTCTAGTCTGTCCTGCCTGACCATGTGCTTTCTTCAAGCCACCAAGAACACCCATCTCACTTTTGTCACAGGATGATGTTTTTTGTGCGAACATAAATATTTAGAGAAATTTACAAAAGATTGAGCTTCATCAAGTCAAGCATTCCTGCTAATGCAGCATGGGACAAGTCAGCAGGGAGCAGGAGCCTGGGCTGGTGTGCACAGCTGTTGCAAGACCAGACTGTGGAACATTCCCTTTTGATTCCCCCGACTTCACTGATCAAAACCAGTTTTCAAGCTGGCCGGTGAAATCTTTTCCATCAAAACAGCTTCTTCAGTGTGCAGGCTTTTTCTGTATTGTGATTCTCTTGTCTCAGTTTTATGGTTGGTATGCAAATTTCTGATGCAGATATGGTGCACTTGCTGCAATAGTGAAAAATGAAACTGTACTAGAGAAGTTTCTAGCATGCAACCCAGACCAAAATAGTTGGGAGACCTGCCCAAATATAATTGTGCTTTGACAGTTTGGCTTTCACTCTGATCATCAATACCTGAGAAAAATTATGCCAGATTCCATATTAGCATAATACAGGAAGACTTCAAATGAGAAAATCCCATGTAAGTAAGAATGCAAATAAAGATTATAAGACTGTTTGGTTCATGCTGAGTTTTTTAGCTGGAAAGGTAAAACAAACAAATAGAAGTTATTCTATGATTTATGCAGCCAATAATTAATAAGATTATAGAAATACATTTAAGGCAAATGGGTGCATTTGTGCAAACACACCAGCATGTATTTCCTTTAAGGATCTGTGTCTGTCTTCACTCTCAAGCACTGCCAGTTTGGCTTTCTGCTCCAGGGGGAAGTGGATTTGCCATACCAGCTAAAATATTATCTACCTCTTGGACAGCTCACAAGTGGCACCACTGTGGTGATGATGGGTGAGAAAACAGCTGTCTGGCATGCCTTTTCTTCAGTGCTGCCTTGCTGCCCCTTTCTAGCAAGGCAACCACAGGAAATCCACAGGAAATCTTACCTTCCTAGAAAAACATCCTGCTTCCTCCTAAGGGTGCGTGGAACAGCCAGCTCAACTGGACTGTGGGCAAATTGAAAGAGAATAATCTTTTGTACAAAGTGGCTCAAGCTTCACTGTTTGAAACACTGAAAACCACAGTGGACAGAAACCAACTGGTTGGTCTGATCAAGTGTCAGCGATATTTTGGGCAGGACTGTTGAACTAGATGACCCCTAGAAACCTCTTCCAACCAATGTTTTTATATTTTGATAATCATAAAAAAATCATCACAAAATCTAGCATTTTTCTTCTGTCTTTAAAATCTGTGCTTCTCTTATAAACATTGCTAGGCCTTGTATTTGGTTCCATTTTTTGTAAATACTCTTTTTTTTTTTCCCTGAGCTTTTAATTAAAGATGCATATAATTAAAGTACTGTTTTTATTGCATATTATAAATTTATTTATGCTATTCTACAGGAGTGCAAGAAATTTTTAGGCATTGTCCCAGCAAGCTGATTTTTCATCATTGTAATGCTTTCAATATATTCCTGTAACTGAACATGTTTCATGAACCTAAAGAGGTTATATTAAGTTTAGTAATAGAATGAGAAATATGCTTGGGGTTGTAGGTCTTTGATGAGCAGTATGAATGAGTGAATTGAAACTCACTCATCATTTAAATTGCAAATGTAGCTGAAAGTGACTTCATGGTTCATGCTGGAGTACAAAATAATTGAAAAATATTATATATTTAATATCAGAAAGTTATGCTATCTCACACAGCAATTAAAGTAAGAAAAATGCACAGAGAGATCTTGGCAGTTCTGTACTTGGAAATCCTTCAAATCTGTCTGTGAAAACTGTACATTGGTTTCACGCATTTCCTTTCAGGAAAACCTTTAACTATAGGAATTAGGATGAGAAAAAGGAATTGCTCTGAGATGATGATTATTTTCCATGATTGTGGTAGCATGAATGAACTACAGGAAGCTTTCCAAACCAAGGAGAGGATAGAGTCCACTGTTCCAAAGTATGTGAGTGTTAAGAAGCAGGGTAGGGAAGAGGAGGGTTGAAACTACAATATAGAAAGCAATCTGGGTAATGCAAACCATGTATCTGACAAATGACAGCTAGTAGAAAGTGATAGCAATTTTTCTGGAGAAGAAAATCAAAATTATTCTTATTTGGCACAGAATGTGTTTTGGCCAAATGTTTTGGGGGTTTTATGCATTTTTATTTTCAGGATATTATTTCTATTTTCTCAACATTAGTTTTTAAGAGTGGGAAATAAATGTTACATTTTTAGGTCTTTATAAGGATTTTTTAGAGGGAAAAAGGAAAACTGCAGGAAAAGTCCACATAAAAATGTTTGTGAGATTGGAATTTTTTTGCTGGATGGAGAAATATTCAAACTTATTCCTAAATGAGTAAGTCCCTTCAAACTGAGAGATGATTTTAAAAAAGGTTTGTACTGAAAATCTATATTTTTGTTGTGGAGAAATTAGAACAGGTAGTTTGGGGAAAACAAACAAGCAAACCGAAAAGCTCAAATGTAGGTGTACAAAACACTACAGAAATAAAAAGGTGTGTAAGTATTGTCTTTCCTTATCTTTGTGTCCTTGAGGAGCAGGTTCTTTCTTCCAGGTTTCTTTTCAGCTCAGTGACTTTCTGGGTTGCTGCAAACTCTTTGCAGTCCCTCTGGGTCTCACGTGACTCAGTCGCTCTCTTTTTACAGGAACATGCCAAAATAACGTGGAACAAAAGCCTGAAACTAATGCCATATGTCACAGCTTGCAGGATGAAAGTCCTAGTTCTACTGATGTCTTTGAGGAATGTGCAGCTATTGACAGAGGAAAGATTTTCACAAAATGACCTGGACAGACCCAAAGCATAAAAAACTAATTCTTGCAAGCAACAAAGTGTGTGTCAGTCTTCTCCCACCACCACCTCATTTAACATCTAAACATTAATTTGTTTTCTGTTTAAATGGTTACCAGCAGTAACTTTCCAATTTCTGAGGTAATTAGGAAAGGGCTCTTTTAGCAATGTCTTTCCTTGTTGCCTGCTCATTAAAAGAATTACTGCTTAAGACTAAGGAAGCTTTTTAAGATTAACTTAAATGATGATTTGAGGGAAAGTTGAGAAAGTATGTAGAGAGAAGTGTGATGGAGCCTCTCCCATGCAGATTTGAGTACGTGCCACTCTGCTGTCAAGGTCTCTGATGGGCACACCAAGCTCTGCAGTGTATTTTTGGCTTCAGTTTGTGTAATCTGTCCTTATCTAGTCATATCTTGAGGCTTCATAAACAGAAGTGCCAGGTCTGGATGTCCTGACAATTACTCTCCCCAGCTGGTAAAAGGCACGTGGAATATTTAGACAAGCATTTGTTTCTACTTTCAAAATTTGCTACATGATTGTAGCATTACAGAACACAAGATTTTAATAAACAATATGTTTCCTTAAGATAATGGCTCTAATTTGGGGATTTTGTTTTTTTGTTTATTTTTCCTTTGCAGGAAGAAGGTATTGTGAAGGAAATAGACATCAGTCATCATGTCAAGGAAGGTTTTGAAAAAGCAGATCCTTCTCAGTTTGAACTGCTGAAAGTATTAGGACAAGGCTCATATGGAAAGGTAATTTTTACTGTCATCTAATCACCCAGAGCAACACTGAAAATATTGTGTCCTTTCTCTGAGTTCATTTACACTGCTGACATTGTACATATATAAATTATATTGTAAAGGCAGATAAGGATAGCCCTTCTCTCTTCATTTTAGTCATGCTTCAGTCTTTTAGCTGGGTTTCTGCATATGAACCAGTTTAGAAAACAGCAGCTATGGCTCTGGACCTGGACTAATGAGCACAATGATTGTTAGTCAAGCATCACTGTTTACACCCAGTGATAAACAATATTTATGGATTATCTATCCCCCAGGGAGGTGAGTGTGCCACTGCTGCCTGGTTGGAGGGTGTAAATAGGAGCATTCAAAGACTTAAATAAGGTAGCTGCACAGTTCCCACTGAGGGCAACCTCAAGGACATTTCCAAGTCCCAGATTTCTGTTTAGTTCACACTCAGAGCTTTGTAAACTCCTGGAGATAAAGCCCAGTGCAGAACACAGTAATCATTATAGCAAGAGCATGGGGAAAAACCATGCCTGTATGGGGTAACTGCAAGCTAATTTGTGGAGAAGTAACATTTGCCACATATCTTAATACTAAGGATTTTCTTAATTCCAAAGACAGTTCTTCAGCAGGGCATGTTGGTTGGAAGTGAGAACAGGCAGGAAAGATGGTGAGAAAGGAGGAAAAGTCAATTCAGCCTCAAAGTCTTTCTAATGTCTTTTCTAATGTCTTCAAATAAGGCATTGAAACCTTTGGAAGAGTGAACCTAGCTGAAACTAGGCATCAAAGTCCTTATATTATTCTGTAGAGTTTTAAGGACATATTTTCTAATCAGAACCTTTATTTTTATTCCTAAAGAAAGCTATATTAAGAGTGTTTATCAACTTCCTGGTTATTCCAGAATTAAATTGATAATTAAACCTATTAGAAGTTCCCTGAGATGAGAGGTATCAAGAAATTAACATTCAATACCAAGTCTTGAAGTCAATAATTTCTTCAGAGCACAGTGTATTTAAGTTTTAAATATTAAATTAATAGGAAATAGCAAACAGATCAAAATTAGGTTTACTATGGGACTCAGTGTAAGAAGATGAAGAACAACAGAAATAAACATCTTTGATAAAAGTAACAGAGTCAGAATAGTTGGTTTTCATACATAGGCAGTTAAGATTTTAGGAATGGTTTGCTGGTTATCTTAGATTGTATTGATGTATTTTCAGTACTGCTCGAGTTGGCCTTCTAGTCTTAGGCATTTTATAAGCAAAATGCCTGGTCTGTGCAACCACTTCCCAAAGGGAAATCTGATTTCTTGAGTGGGAGTGTGGACAATGTACCTGTCTGGAGCTGCATGTAATTACAAATCACTTTCCACATCTTATGTGAGAATCATTGGTAAACTCCCTGGAGCAGCAAAGAAGTGGGGAAGAGAGGTTTACTCTGTGTTTCTTATTCAGTCCCCAACCACCTACATTTTCATCACCTTGGTATGTGATCTAATGGTTCAAATCTGTGTCTCTGAGGATGCAAACCATTAAGTTTACAAATTATTCACTGAAGAACTAAATAATTAGAGATGTCGTCTTTGGTGTCAGAGGGAGTGTGCCCCCAACACTCTGGAGATGCAAAGCACTTGCTTAGCTTTTTATCAGGTTTTGAGTGATGCACCAATTGCACCAGCTAAGGGAGTTATGCTAGCTCAAGTTAACCTTACAAACATATCAAACTAGAAAATTGAAAGTTGTGCTCAGCCACATGCACATGCTATTCTGGCAAACTCGTATAGTCCCGCTAATATAATCTGTCAGTTTAGCACTTCAGTGTTACTTGGTGGTTTCAAGAACAATGTGTAGCATTACATTTAAGAATAATCAGAAGGGTGACATCATTTTGCAATACAACACATTTTCATTTGTTCTGTTCCTTTCTGGTTTGGTGGTTATTTTGATGTCCTCTGAAATAAAACACAGTGTTCTTGACTCATCTCTTTTGGAGGGAATGCAGGCAAGTGCCCTGTCCCATGCTACAGTGAACAGCTGACTAGTGACTGGTAATGGAAATTGATAATTTTGCTTATTACAGCAATGTGGGTATTACAAGCTTTGCAAGATCATAGGGCAGACAAGATATTTCTAGAACTGCAGCCTAATATTTCTGCAGATGCAGTGTGCTGTGCTGTTTTATGTGCAGTGCTGCTGAAAACCATTATCTTAAGGGTTTGGGTTTTTGTTTTTTTGGGGTAAAGAGCCCATAATTTTTTTTTTTTTTTAATAATAATACAGCTGAAAATCTAGTGTCTGGAAAAGCTTGCTTTTGACTTTCTCCTCCTTTTCAATGTAATACAAAAATTAAATCTTTTACTTGACCTGGACAGAAAAACATCCCAACTTTCCTCTGTAAACTTCTAAATGAATTGACTTCCTGTTAGTGCTGGAGCAGCTGAGCTTAATTTATCATTAATAACAACAAAAACCACTTCAGAAAGTCTTATGTGTCCCTGTTGCACCCAGATTAAAACCCTATCAGATCATGTCATACAAGTGTTGCAGCTCTGGTGCTGTCAGATATGGGAGTCCTTATGAAGTTGTGCAGAGATTCAGAGAGAAATGAGAATTTACCTTCAAATTTACCTTCTGTTTTTTTGTTTGTTTTTGTTTTTTTCTTCCCATCTCACAGATCTTTACTCAAATGAGTTTAAAAAATCTAATTTGTTTACTGATTGAAGCTTTTTTGGAGGAAGAGTCTTTCAATGTGAAAAACTTGTGCTAGAAACATACTCCTTCCTTATTTTTTGGCTTTTTATATTTTAGGTGGAGACAGTTAACAAGGCCTCATTGTTCCTGGATAGGCAATTAATAAAATAATTGGAATTTTTAATCCAAATAGACACTTATTAGTTAGATCATTTCACCTGGCCTCTGTCAATTCGTATATTAATGAATATATGGGATTGTATGTATGTGGGACTGTATTTTTATTTCTACATTTGGCTTTACTTCAGCTTCTGTCCAGAAACACAAGTGCTGAAATTAAAAAAATAAGAGACACTCTTGCCTGACTTCTGAAGATCTGAGAATTTCTAAGGTCACACTTCTGACCTCAGCAGACAGAGTGTGTCCTAAGAAGCAGCTAAAAGAGTTGTTTATTTTATTTCCAATTGATTTATTTTCCAATCATTGAAAAGTCTTATAAAGACCAAACTGAACCATTGATCCTGTTGTTCACTACCCCTCCAATGCTCAGATGCATTGAAGGGCATTGAAGGGCAGATAAGAAATATTTGCATGGAGCACAATAAAAAGAGTACAAGTTTAACTACAAATTTTACTTTATTTTAATTAAAATTTCACACTTTCAGAATACAAAGCATAGGAGACTCTAACAGGAAAAACTGTCTTTTTTTGTAATAGCAACAGATTTTCAGCTGTATGAACTTTATTCTTCAGCTGCATCTTAGGCAAGTTGTTATTCATGACTTATGGCATGAATGGCACCAAATTGATTCCTTTCTTAAATTTAATTGATGGCAATAATTTTAAGACACTGCACATTCCTAGACACAAATGAGACTTTTTTTCATGTAAAACTGGTCAGAATATGAAGAGATATGTACTCACTGATTCTAACTTTTCGCCCATCTTTAACTGAATATATGAGGTCAATTAATAACATTGAAAATGGTTTTTTTTGTGAAGTGGTAAAGGCTTAAAAACTGAAAATTTCCAAAGCTAGCTCAAACAATTGCAGGTGAAATGGATATGAGGTGCTTTCAGCTAGTAATTTTCATCAGATTTCCTGAACCATAGTATCTATTCTCCTGTTGAATGCAGTAAGTCTTGTAAGCAGAAATCTAGTACTCAGCTATACAAAACATTTGCTTTTACAGGTATTTCTAGTCAGGAAGATAAAAGGTTCTGATGCCGGCCAGCTTTATGCCATGAAGGTACTTAAGAAGGCAACTCTAAAAGGTAAGGATTGGGACAGTGGCTGCAGTCTCTATTTCTGTGCTATGTAGTAATTTGTTTTTCTTGCTGTTTTCTACATTGTTACTGCCTTGCAGTATATGAATGCATAAATATGTCTGCCAGACTCCAAAATTCTGCCTCACTGTAGGTGAATATTCTAAAAAGAACTAAAAAATATGTTACCTATACAGTGTGAGAGGAGGAAAACAGAGGTTTGCAGCTTCCCAGCTGCATGCTTGCTTTATTTTTTTGGTGTTATTTTTAGGACTTCTATTTGGTATATTTTCAGTTGTATTTAAGTGTCACTATCTTTCTGTTGCTGAAGTAAATGAGAATATTGCTAAAGTAAAACCTGGCTCCTACGGGGCAGAATGGCCTTCCCAGCTGGTGCTTCTTTCTGTGTGCCTGAAAAACCATGGGAGCATGTTCCTAAGTGTGAGGAAGCATTCTGAGACCATTTAGATCATGCTGTTTCTTAGCTCATGGGCTGTAGGAGGCCAGGGCCAAATGACTCAAGTTTAAAGCTGGTTCTTCTCTTCTGGGGCCACTGCCTGCTACAGACAAAAAAAGAAATTGGTAGTCAAGCCCAGGACTGAAAAGCAAAGAGGGTAAGTTCAGTTTCAGCTGAAGTCCTTAATGATTGTTCCTGCACAGGCTAAGGAGGTTACAGTCATCTTTTTGGTTCCCTGACTAGCACTGTTCTGATCTTTCCCTCAAAAGCCTGACACTTCTTGCAGGTAAAGAGGAGAGCATTTGTTTTGTCTGGAGCAGATATTTTGCTTTGTCTTGGAGAGTGTGGTTTTGTGCAATGCAGTGTAGTGTCTAAATTCCTGTCCTAATGCAAAGAATAATCATTCAGTGACCAGATAGTTCTGATCACTTAAAAATACAGATTTCTATAGCATGCCTTGCTTTGGGGAACCCAAATATGAATAAAGCCACCTGTTAAGCAAGCTAGAGCTGCTGCAGGTGGTGTCAGGCAGAGCCAGCCCCTCTTCTGGGTACTGGTTTAGATGGGGAATGGGCACACCAGCCCTTTAGACAGTCCTTTCCCCTCAGAAAGCCTTTTCAGGAACACATGAGTTTGAAGCAATGCTGGCGTGCTTATCTTGTTGTTTGGGATCCAGAGGGGAATGTTTATTCCAGCAGAACAGCCCTGGGTAAATAAACAAACAGCGCTGGACACAAGACATACAAAGGAATAGGTCAGGGCTGTGCACATCACGTATATGGCAGAGTGATTCTCTGACCTCTCAACCAGGAACAGCACCCCGAAGTGCCCAAACCCAGCTGAACTCAGCTGTCAGAGTCTTCCCCACTGGGGAATGTCATCTTCTGATGGTGTCTGAGCAAGGTCTGTGTAACCCCTCAGACACCAGGATGTACCTGAAACGTACTCCTGTTTATTTTGACAATACAGTTTTTTTACCAAAAGGGAAAACTGTGTATTCCCTCTTTTTCTGTATAACCCTAAGGAGTGTTTAGCAGGATGAGCTTTGGCACAGGAGATGGGTTTTTTTGCATCCCCAAACACTTTATTGTTACTTAATATTTGATGGTGAAATATGTAAAAACACTAGATTCCACTGTAAAAGAAAAGACCTTTATTGTGGCAGTATTTCGAGAAATGTCAAAATTTAGGTTTTGAAGTACCTAATGTGTTCCATCAAGTTTCTCTTCTGTCAAGAACAAGAACCTCTTTGCAGTTCTGTGGTTCTTTAAAGCACAGAAAGGCTATTTATTGTCTTCTCAAGTATGGATCACAAGATCCAAAAATTGAGGCTACTTTGTGATTTTGGTGGATTGCATTTCTCTCCCATTCAGACTACCTGCCCCTCTGACTGCTAGCTCTGGATTTCCCATTAATCTCAAGATAAAAGCAGCACAGGGGTAGGAACTAATTTGTCTGCACCAGTTTCTACAAATAAGTTGAAACTGACAGCTGTTTAACTCAAAGTGCAAAAATAAAGACAGAGCCCCATTGGCAGCAGAGTGAGTGAGATGAGCAACAATGAGGATTGCTGTCAGTAAGCTTCCATGTAAACTTTTGGCACAGAGATAATATTTCTGACAGCCTAATTTCATCTTTTAAGTGAGAGTGCTGTGTTATTGCTGACTACCTACACTCAGAAAGGCTGGAAGTCACTCCAATTTGAAGTATTTATTACCCTGTCTAGCAGTGGGAGCAAAGCTACAGGTATGTTAGCACTGCATTCAACATTCACTGACACAAGGCACACTACCAGGCAGATTTCTGAATGATTTTGCTTCCTGACCTGCAGCCTGCACAAGTACCACACAGAGCAGGAAATTCAGAGCTCTCCATGCCCAATTCCACTGGCGATGGCCAGACAGCCCTAAATGTTACAACAATTATTTTCTATAGTGAAATAAATTTGCAAAGCAGGTAAATGGAGAAGTCAGAAAGAACATAAAGAGGATGGCATAGCAAAGCTGATTTTTTTCCTGGATTAGTGTGCAGGAATAAAACCTGGTTGAGTAAGAGACCTTCAGGAGTGATGGCACTTGCTCTGAAGAACAACCCTAGTAGGTCCTGTTGGGGGATTTCCTGCCCTGGGCACCTGACTGTGGCTGGTAATGTTTAGGAAGAAGCAGAAGTACAAAACGGTGCTTTCTCCCCTGAGGCTGTTGCCTCCTGCCCCTTTCCATGGTACCTGCCCCTTGTTAGCATGAGCCCAACTTCAGCAACAGCAAAAGTTAGTATAAAAAGGGCACAGCAAGCAGCAGCAGAATTCTTCAAGCATTTACAGTTCAAAAATGGCTTTTTATACAAAAGAGACTTTGTAGATCAATCACATGTGTAGATTTGAGCTTGAAAAATATCTGCTCATCAGCAGGACCACTCCTGCTGTGAAGGGAAAATTAGGCTCCAGAATATTACAGTTCAGATTGTGAAAGTTTGCAGAGGCACGTGCTGTACACATGAATATTTGTGAAAATTAAATTATTCGTAAATTATTGAAGGTTTATTTTAAAAATAGGATGTATCTGAATAAGCACCTGTAGCAGCATGGATCCTTGAAAGAAAAAAAGCCCCTGTTACTTTTTGTTGTAAATGAGAGCATCACACATAAGTTTCTTTCCTTTCTGTCTCATTTCCATTTTCAGGAGCTTGTGGGTATCTGAATTTAAAGCAAAAAGCTTTCTGAAGAAACGAGATAAGCATTTCATTCTAATTATTACCTTCAGTAAAACCTTGTTCAAAATGTTTTAGGATGTTATGTGTGTTAGGTGCCAGATATGGAGTACATCAAATTTAAGGCTGCATGTATGTGTAACTCTAACTTGTCTCTCTTTCAAATACTGTGTATTACATTAAATTATCTTAATAGCTTCCTTTGCAAATATAACCCCTATTGGGGGCATCTAGGTGCTCAAGGATATTTAGGCATTTAAAAAACTTCCAGGAGTGAGACTTTTGCCCTTCATGTCATTAAATAGTACTCTTAAAATGTCATATTAAAATGTTGCTTTCAATATTCTACTTTTTCATTAAAATCAGAATTTTAGATAAAAAGTTGACAGAAAATAAAGTTGATCTATATGTTTCAATGCTTACAGAGATGTATCAGTGAGTCTCTACTGCCCATCCTGATAACATTGTAAATCTGAGGAAACCAGAAATCAACCAGGGTGTGTTTATTCTGTGTGTATGTGTGTCTGGTATTCACCAGCAAAGCTGGAGCAGAAGGGCAGGGCAAACTGACTGTTCTGATTCATTCAGTATTTGTCTCGAGGTGTCTCAGGCTCCATCAGCTTTACTGAATGTGCTTCAGAATTCCATGATCAAGAGTTGTTTAGATTGGTTGTGGTGTAAGCCTCATTAAACACCCATGAAATGCCCATAAATCCCCAGCAGGTTGCTGTGCTGGAATGTAAGGGAGCTTGAAAATCAAACACCCGTTCCTGCAGCAGACATGCAATCTAAGAGAAAGGGGCATGAAGCCATGATTCACTGACATAATGCTCATGAACTTCATAAATATTGCAGTGATGATGTAGGGAGGGTTATGTGATGGATCATGAGGATGCACTTTGCACCTGCCCATCCGGTTGGCAGTGGTGTGTGTAAGTCTTGGCACTGGAAGCTGTTTGACCCTCAGAATGCAGTCTACCTTTTTGTGATTATAGGGTTTAGAAATAATAATCTCTTTTGTCAAAACCTCTAAAGTACTTTGCAGCTTATGATCTCCTGAGTTTAAGCCAGCAGGCTTAGGGGGTTGCTGGTGTGTGGTGGTTACAGGTGCAGTGAGCTGAGAGAGCAGCTTTGGTGGCTCACAGAGAGCTTGGCTGTTCTCGGGGATGTAGAATCGAAAATATCACTTACACCCAAAATCCAACAACTAACTTAGATGTTACCAGGGAAAGTGGGATTTCTGTCTGAACCACTGGTAAAATTGCAGTGCTGGTTTCCCTGGCTGGATGCCAACCAAAGTGGCTTCTTCAGTTTTCCTCCGGATGTGACTTAGTTTCCCTGTAACAAATGTGGTGATCAGATATCAGATATCAGATACAGAATCTAGTGGTTTCCCTCTGGTTTGAAAGGAATAAAATGTCAACAAAATGAGAAACTGTAGACAATTTACCCTATAAAGCAGGACTCAGAAAGAGTCTTCACCTCAGGTAGAATTTGCTCTGTTGTGCTGAGGTTTTCAAGGTGTCTTTTTCTATTTTGTACAGTCCTTGTGTTTTGGTGAGAGCCCCTGGTATTTAACCAGGTTCATCATTTAAATTTTGGTTTATTATTTTTTCTTAAAGTATTCTGCTGTATTTTTTACATCTTCTTGGGCCTCTTATTACCTGCTTCTGAAAAAATCATCAGGGAAGTCCTGTCCTCTGGGCAGTCCAGACCCTGCAGCAGAGATATCCTTGCCCTGAAGTTTAGAGGAAAGTTTATGTGCTCTACATCCTTGGAGCTGCTGCTTATGTATGGCTTCTTTAGTCTGAGAATTGTAACCCTCCAAATGTCAGGGCTCTGAGCT